TTTTTTGACCAAATCTCATAAAGACACAAAGGAGAACCAGAACTGCTCCAGAAATTAGCAAGACCTCCAGAGAAAAGTGGAAAAACTTCATGATAAGGGCTCACAGGAAGGGGGAGCATTTTAAGGAGGATTAACTGCAATATGCCTTTAACTGTCATAAAAATTTTAAATTAATGTTCACCATCTATGCTGTGATCACACTCAGACTTCCCCACACAGCCCCCAAGCATCTTATCTGCAATATGTCTTAAAATTTCACTTCTCTCTATATGACCTTCATCAATAAAAATATAAATAAAAACCTTTATGGTTTTCATTTTCTTACTAACTGAATAAGTCCATTTTTAAAAAGCCAGCCTTCGGTTGCAAGGCCAAGGAGTTCAATCCCCAGGCCTGCCATGCTGGTCCTGCTACCAGGGCGCGCTGAGAAGGCAGTTTTGGCTGGTCATGGTGGCGCGCGCCTGTAATCCCAGCTCTTAGGAGGCTGTAAACAGGCGGATCATTATGAGTCCAATCTAGTAGTGAGACCCTGAACATCTTGTAGACCCTTCCCTAAAATATATAAAAAAATAAAAAGCGAGTCTTGCCTTTTCCTCTACCTCTCCATTTCATTTTCCATTCTACAGAGATTGAACTTGTTTCGATTCCTCAGCTATTGGAGAATGCCGCTTTATGTCTGTGCTCTTGTCTGCTAAGTCCAGCTCTTCACTGAGGTAAAAACTCTGCTTCCTGCCTTTCAGACATCAACTTGGATGGCATTTTATTTCTTGTGAGAGCCAAATGTCATTGGCCTAAAAGCCTTCCAATGAGCAGCATCACAATGCTTCCATTTTTCTTTAATTTTTGGTTTGTTATTGCCATCATCCCATGATCTTAAGTATTAGTTTGCTTGAAGTTTAGGAATTTCATCAGAAGGGCATCTGTTGTACCCATCTTTTTACCTACTGTAAAAAGTCACAATATTGGAATGCAGTAGTCACTCAATAAATATTTGCTGAGTGAGTGAATTAACAAATGGAAATATTTTGTGTATGGGATTGCTATCTATGTGTAGAAAATAAAATCAAATTTATTTGCACTATCAAACCCTTTAAACTTAAAATGAAAAGTCTGTTTTTCAATTTCTGAACACATAATTAAAGGTTAAGCTTCGGATATAAATCTACTGAGGTCATAAATTTGAAATTATGGAATCAAAATTTAAAAATTTATGCCAGATATGGGAGGTCAGTATTGTCTTGATATGAATATTCGTATTATTCTTTATCTTTTTTATAAGGGAAGTGTCCTCAGCATGTATATCCGCTTGTACAAATAGCTCCGGGTAATTAAAATTCTTCTGCTTCTCCTTCTCTTTCCTCCGTAGTGCTTCTGGAATGTTCAGGATTCTTTCGGAATGTTCCCTGCACGGGGCCTGCTCCTCTCCCATCTCATGCTGTCCTCTCCTTGTTCCTAAGCTAAGTTCCACTGGCCTTCCACGTGGAGGAGAGTCCCACCGTTCCAGAGGAAAGGAGGGGTGAGCCTTCCCTGGTCAGGCTGCATCACTGGAGGAAGTGTGTCTCTGGCATTGACAATACCTTTTTAATAATAAAATCAGCAAATAGTCTTCAAAATTAGCACCTTCCCCTGCCCCACCAAATACAGTGACCTTTCTTTATATAAAATAATTTCATGAATAAGCATGAATTTGAAACTGCAGACAGAGGGTACACTTATTGAAAATATTCAAGTATTTGTAAGAACAATTTAAAAAGAATGTCTTTATTTCTTATATTGAAGCAAAAGGTAAAACAGAATTTCTAAGTTTGCATGCAGAACTTATTTTTAGGTTTGATCATAAAACTTAAACATATACATAGAAACAATATCAACAATCAGATAACAAGCCAGAAAGATACATTACAGGTGGATAATATTTTTTAAAATTTTTATCTCTGCTCATTTATGCATCAGAAGTAATACTTAAATTTTATATAATTGCCAAAATTGAACAGCAGAGGGCAGAAAATAGCAAACTCTTTCTTCCAGAACACTATTCAAATGTTTTGATAATTTTCAAAATTGATATGATTATTGATCAGGTTATAGTAAAGATTGTAGAAATCATCACTATGTGTTAAACACAGACCTTCAGACATATGTAAAATAATTTTTATTATTTTTATTTTATTTGCATAACCATTTAGTCAATTTAAATTTATTACTTTTAAATTGACAATATTTAGTGCTTAAAATATAGTTGAAATAATGTAATTGATTGAAACATTTCATGAATGATATCAATGCAATTATCTGACTGGAGGACATTTTTTCTAGTTATGCGAAAATTACGTAAACATATTGTGAACAAGCACTAGTAAAACACATAGACTTACAAGGAATCCTTGACAAACCTTTTGTTTGCATTCATATACAAATTATGACTAATATCTAGACTGTAGTATTTGCCTGTGTCTCACATACTTACTAAAGGACATGCTCTATGATTCAGCAAATTTTGTTTTTATAGTATGCAATTCAGTCAATTTTGAATTCATATCTGCCCTTGACTTTGAAGTAGGTTAAGATGAAAATAGCTTTTGCAAATCTTGATCTTTTAAAATTCAATTTATGTTCACTTGCACTTCAAACATCAATATATTCTCACATTCAAAATGCCCATCACTGTTGTCATCCTCTCCCCCTCTTCCTTTTCCCTCTCTTTTTTTTTCCTCTCTTTGATTACAAGTTATTTTCCACAAAATAGAAGATATTCTTGTGGAAACATTTAAGGAAGCAAAAAGGAAAATGATTAAGATAAATTTTCCATCTGCTATGTCCTATGATCCATTCTTTTATTTATTTTTTTTTTAATTTGAAAGAGGGAGTGATGCCAAATCACTTTCTGTGCGTAGCATCGTAACTCATGACAAAAGGTACATGCTTTGTGTAATTATTTAGTGCAACTTTGAATGTATACACAAATAATCTTGCCTCCCATATCGTTTTTTTATGCATTTAGTAAGGGTCTACAGGGTTTCACCATACAGATTGGACTCTTAGTGATCCTCCTGTTTTCAGCCTCCCAAGCTCTGGGATTATAGGTATGCACTACCACGCCCAGTTTCCATGCACCCCAGGATAGGGTCTGGCACAGCACCATGGAGATCGAACCCCAGTTCCTGTGTCTGCTTAAGCAGGCACTTTAATCTGCTGAGCTACCTGGTTTGCCTTTCATATTATTTTTAAAATTTATTTGCAGGACTCATACCTTTTATTCAGTGGACCTGCCTTCTATATAGCGTGGAGTTTCTATTCAGACTGAAGTAAGTTTTTGTGAGGCACCAGAAGGTGTTTTTACTTGCAGCATATTAGCTAGTTACAGATTGTAGGTATTTTTCCTGCCTTAACAATACTGCCAATCAAAAAAGAGGAAAGCTCCTATGTGAATCACAGAGCCTTGGGATTCAGAGGCCTCAGAGGTCACTGTGTTCACCCTTCTCATTTTAAAATGGGAAAATTGAGGTCTGTTGGGTCAAGGGCTGTGCAGGTGTGATATCCATGCCCAAGTGACACATACGTGACACACAAAGGTAGATGGTGCAGTAACTCTCCTGCAACTTGGGAACCTCAATGGCTCTCCATTTAGCATGGTGGACTTCCATCTCCTGACTTCTGGAGGCAGGTCCTTGAACTCAACCTCTTCTTGCTTTGTGTATAGCACACCAAGCAGAGGGTTTGGGGAGGAATTTCTGAGCAGCAGAGGGAGTTGCCAGAGGGTTCTTGTGGATAGACTTGGCCCAAGGCTTTGAGCCCATCTATTCCAGAGGAGCGCATCCTCTTTCATATCCTCCACCAGCTCCCTTACTACAAACTTTTCTTTCTCAGCCTCATCTTCCTTTCTCAGGACCTCAAGTGTTGGAGCAGACCCAACAAGGCGGCTCACTCCCTCGAGGCAGTGGCATTTCCACACTCACACCAAACTGCAACGGGTTCTCTGGCTGTGTTTGGCAAGGTTCTGGAGCTCTGAAGCCTTTCTAGAGTAGTTTGGTCTTCCAGCAGTTCCTTCCTGCAAGAGGGCTGCTTTTGCCTCCAGTCTGAACCCAGAGAGGACATCTAAGCAGCCAAATTTACACGTTTCTACAGCGGAAGAGCGTCTGCGGTGAAGGCTGCCAGGACAAATAGTGCGGCTTCACAAGCCAGCCGCACAGCTCCTGGCAGTAAGCTCTAGAGACGGAATTCTCGGGCAAACTATTTCAGAAACTCGACCTTGATTGTCTCTTGTGGGACTTTAGTCAATGAGAACAGGTTTTGGGGGCTTCCTTGGACCCTTTCTCTGTGTCACGAAGCCAAAGTCCACAATTTTGAACACTTAGTGAATGGGTATTTTGTTCGCTCTTTGGTTTTTCAGGGGGGTTAGTGGAGGGGCTTGGCTATGTTTCAGTACTGCTAAATGGGTTTTCACAGGAGATAGAAGATACACAATCCAAATGGCTTTGCACATAAAATCGGCAGAGCCTGGTGAAAGAACTCTCCACCACCGATAATAATTTGCAATCGGGTTCTTTATGCGCAGCAGCCGGAAATCGGCTTTGCAGTTTTTGGTCCTGGCTGGAGAGGAATCCGGCTGGTGGGGCGCTGTCCGCGGTGCTGAAAAAGAAGAACGTGGCTCCCGCCGGACAGGGGTGCAGACCTCTGGGCGGTGCGTGGTGCGGAGCTTCGGACCGTGCGGAGTGCAGAGCCTGGGCCGTGTTCACTGTTCAGAGCTCCGGGCTGCTCGGAGTACACAGCCCGGGCCGTGCCGGGTGCAGAGCCCGAACCGTGAGTGGTCCAGAGCTCCAGACTGTGCAGGCTGAAGAGCCCAGGCCGTGCGGGGTGCGGGGCTCCGGGCTGTGAGGGGTGCGGGGCGCCACACGGGGGAGGGGTGAGCCGCGCACGCGCGCCTGGGGCTGCCGGCCCCTCTCCGCGCCTCGCGTGTGTGCGCGCGTGTGTGTGCGCGCCCGCGAGAGCAGAGGGGCGGCGCGGTGAGTGTGAGCGCACGGCAGGGCGCGGAGGACTCCAGCGCGGACCGCGGCGGCAGCTCCAACAGCTGAGCTCTGGACTCGGAGCGGGGACCCGGCCAGGGCGCGACGGCCACTGGCAGGACTGCAACTGGGGACGCTTCAGATTCTTCCGCCTCCATCTCGGGCTTCAGCGTCGAGGTACTCCCCTGCTGCCTCAACATGCACAGGATCTAATTTGCCGAGGAAAAGGGCCAAAGGCGGCAGAGGAGGAAAAGGAAAAAAAGCCCCAAAATCAAAAACAAGGGGGAATTTTGTGGATGCTCTACTTTTCTTGGAAATGCAAAAGATTATGCATATTTCTATCCTTCTTTCTCCTGTTCTCTGGGGACTGATCTTTGGTGTCTCTTCTAACAGCATACAGATAGGTAGGTACCCTTTGTGCTATCCTTTCGAATTATGCATGATTTGTTCGTAGTGGACAAATTAATTCTTGTCATGTAGACTTATGTCATACCTTGACTGCATTCCAGATTTAAACTACCTGGAATATACACGATTTCCGTAGGACAGAGCGGAGGGACCGACTGCGCCTTTGATACCCTAGAGAAAAAGGCTTCTCGGTTCTAAGCCCATGTTTTATTAATTCTGCCTGAGCCACATCTGTCCTTTCGCTCCAGTCCCCTAGGGGTTGGGATGCTAGGCTTGGGACTGGAGGAAGCACTAACGGTTGTGGGGTCTGGTCCGGTCCGGCGGGCGACCCTTGATCCCGGGCTCTGACGCGGTTCCGACCCGGGTCGGTCCGGTCCGGTCTGGAGCGGCGGACGCCCCTGGCTCCGGCTCTGACGGTCTCCTTGGCCTCCGCAGGGGGGCTGTTTCCCAGGGGCGCCGACCAGGAGTACAGCGCCTTTCGGGTCGGGATGGTCCAGTTCTCCACCTCGGAGTTCAGGCTGACGCCCCACATCGACAATTTGGAGGTGGCCAACAGCTTCGCGGTCACCAACGCGTGTAAGTAGCGGGCGTCCACTCCGCCGGGGCTTCGCGAAAAGCTGGCGTGGGCTGCTGTGAGAGTGTGTGTGCGCGTGTGCGCGTGGGTGTGAGCGGCTGCACGCGCGCGAGGGGGGAGGGGATCTGGGATATTCGGGGACCAGAGGGGGCGCGGGCGGGGATGGAGCTGGGGAGGGGGAGACGAATGGGGGCTCCTCTCTCGGGTCCTCCGCCCACGGCGTTTTGGGGGCCCTCCCCTCTCCTGCGCCCACCCGACCTGGGTGCGGGCCGTTGCGTAACAGCGCCCACCCGGGTTCGCCGCGAGGGGAACTGGGCCCACGCAGGCCCAGGCGCGGGGCAGGAGCGCAGTGCTCGGCTCGGTCCAGCTGGGCGTCTCGGCCTGGCGAGCTGCTTAGCGGTTTTGCGCCTGAGGTTAACGCATGGGGCGCACAGAGCATGGTTTCGGGGTCTGTGCCGGGCTCACCCCTCCCGGGTCACAGTCAGACTGGACACTGCGCCCCGCGACACAGACTCGGGTCCCCGACCACACGGAGGCCCAGACCCCACTCGCGGTCGCTAGGTCCACATCACTGGCCGCTGCACTGGCCTGCACGGCTGTCCTCCCACACGCACGGGAAGCGGGGCGGGGCCGCGGGAAACAGCAGGCGAGCAGTGGGGGAGGGCAGCGCGGTTCCTGCACAGGCCACGTTGCGGGGAACCGGGGCTGCGCGCGAGCGAGCATGGAGAGACAGAAACGGAGAAGGCGACAGATGGCAAAAAAAAAAAAAAAAAAAAAAAGAAAAAAGAAAAAAATCTCACGAAGTTTTAGCGCATAACAGACATACAAGAGACGGTATTACTTAAATGTTCGAGGCTTTCACGCTTGACCTATTTACCTGCCGGAATTAGGCTATTCATTCATTTGCTATCTGAAAGTCCCTCTCTCCGGAATACTAAGTTCCTTGCTCAAAAGTGTTGACTATCTGACTGCATGTAATTGAATACCAAAGGGAGGGTGCTTTGAACACTGGTGACTTCGAAGGGGAGATAGGACGCAGGGCTAGACTTTTAGAAAACAGCAGCTCAGACATTCTTTCTCCGGGGAAATAAAGAGAGGGGCTACCTGAAGAAATGATGGACTTGTCCGCTCTACAAAATGAATACTCCTTGATGAAGTTGTTGCGTTGGGCTTTATACAGGTCAAAGACTGTGGTTTACGTTGAAGTACATTTTGATCTCCAGGCTCTACGTGTTTGAATTTTTTTAAACATCTATTTTACTGAAATAAAACCTAAGGCCAGAACATGTGTATGTTAAACATATTAAAATCCATTGATTTTTTCACAGATGAATACATTTGTGTGATGTGCACATATATTTCATTTCTTTAAAAATAATTTCCCCGTGTAATTTGACCACACTGCTGAGAAGGGGGTATATCACAATTTCATTTTATCTACAGACTTCCTGTTTTCTTTAGAAAAAGAAGGTGAAATAAAAATCTGTTTTCAGACGTCTTCACACCCTGAAATTACGATTTCATGAATCGTTATTCTAGGACACTGACAGACAGGAGTTGGAGGAACCAAATGCACTTCCAAGCTGCCAACATGCAAGGAATTCAGAGGCTCAGCATTCCCAGTTCCTAGGTTATAAATATCTTACTGACTGCTGCAGAGAACCAAGGGGAACTGTCTGGGGTTGACATTGAGTCACTGAGCACAGCACTACACGTTTTTTCATGTTCAGTTTCTTTATTCATTCAGAAATTTCAAATATATAAAATGGCAGTGATATATTTTGAAACCTTCTTTCTGTCCCCTCCCTCTCTCCCTTTTTCTTTCCATCCTTCTCTCCCTTCTTTCCTTTCTTCCTTTT